AATAGAATGTCAATTGAAGGTGTAAATTGGAGTACAAGGATGTTCAGGTCCAGATAATGCAGTTCCTTTAATGCATTGCCAGCACTATCTTCTGCCTTATATAATGAAAGTGTCCTGCAATATAATAATGAAGTCAGATGGATGGATTAGTGAGTATAAAGACCAGCTATTGTGCATACACTCTGGCAACAACCTTCAGCCACAATCAGTGTTTGGTGCATCAAAGCTTGTGTATTCAATATAAAACTATGATTGTACCACCATTAGATGCACATTAGAAAGACCTTTCCAATGATATATATGTGTCCTATGATGTGGTAAAGAATGAGCCAACAGGGGGCAAAATGAGTTGCAGCTGTGGCTGAGAACAAACAAGACCATACTTGGTGGCAGGGGAACGCTGAGCTGCGTTCCCCTGCCACCGACTGTGGTCTTGTTTGGTTCCCAACACAAATGCCTCAATATCTTGGCCCCCACTGGACCATATGTCATGAAATATATATCAACAGAAAGCTATGAATGAGCAGAGTCCATATACTCAAAAATGATTTGAATGTGACTAATGCAGCTGCCACTATACACAAGACAAGATCCCATTAGTGCCACAATTGGAAAAAGCGCCCATGGCACATGACCTGATGACATCATTGCCTTCCCCCAAATTGTTACATCCCGTGCGCCCAACCTCCGAACCCCCGGTGCCAACTTACGAACCTCCGTACGAACTACCGGTTTCCGACTCTATTCCGACTTCTTCCATTTAGACCTTTCTTTCTTGGCGCCTTGCGCCAAGACACTCACCTAGACAAAAGGCTTATTGTTTTCAGACACGAGTTATATCCCGAAGTCCCGGACTTTCCGTTAAAGTACTTCTTATTGTTTCCGAGAACAATTAGGCTTCTATGTATTTAAACCAAACTGGATTGTACTAGCTACTCAGTTCGGATATCTCGTTCACTTATCCAATTCCCTTTTACCCTCGAACCTCCGAACCTCCGACCTCCGACTTCTGACCTCCGAACCTCCGAACCTCCGACCCCCGAACTACGCCCCTAAGCTTGTCTTCTATTCCGCTCTCGACCTCTCCCCTCTCCTGTCCCTCCGACTCTCTAGTCTCGTTCCGGAACTTCGTTAGTTCCGGTACTTGTACTCCCGACCCCCGAGTCGGTACTTCTCCTAAACCGAGGACACCCGACAAGTGTGCCCAGCGTGTTACTAATAGTTTCGCGAAGTCCTCCTTTCCGGTGCTCGGTACTTCGGGACTTCGTCAACCCCCAAACTTCCGCGCACGGTCCTAACAGGATCACATACCGTAAAAAGGGCCCCAAGAAATCTGAAGAGCATATTGATGAGCATGCGGATGTGGACTCGGAGTTTGAGGACAACTATGATGTCAGTGATGCAGAATTGAAGGGTGCTGGAGCCAATGAAGAAGAAGAAGAATCTGAGGATGAACTTTTGCTGACAAAGACATCTGTTAGGGACGTGCCACACGGTAGGTCCGGAGTTCGGAGATTCCAGGGTCCGGAAGGGTCCGGAGTTCGGACGGAGTCCGGACGGAGGTGCGACACGGAGGGGAAGGACTTCAGCGAAGCTATTAGCAACGCTCTGAGACCTCCTGCAGTTGTCCTTAATTTCCGAAGGAACGAGGGGTCGGACTTGACCGGAGTTCGGGGCTGACTAAGCCGGAGTTCCACGCTGACTAAGCGGAACTAAGTCCGAGACGATCGGAGCAGAACAGAGAAGAGGATGAAGAGGATGGCGAGGGACGAAGTCCAAGGGGACTTGTCGAGCGAGCAAGATCAAACAAAGTCTGATGTCCGGAGTTCCGGAACACGTAGGCTCGGAGTTACCGGATTAGGAAGGTCGGAGTTCGGAGGTCGGAACGGAGGTAGACCAAGGGAATAGATTGACAAGGGAGGTAGCGTGAAGGAAGGTAAACAGAAGGTAGCGAGAAGAGTAATGAGGAGGGTAACGAGGAGGGTAACGAGATATCCGAACTGAGGTACTACGGCATTCCGGGCGCGTATTTAAGGAGCAGAACCTTATTGTTAAGGAAGACAATAAGAGCATAAGGAATATCAAATCCGGAGTTCGGAGATTCCGGAGTTCTGGAGTCCGGGGACAAAGACAATAGAGCTTATTGTTAAAGGACAAGATGATGAAAGAATGGTACAATCGTAAGGGAACGTACACGTGAAATCCGGAGTTCCGGAGTGCGGGAAAGTCGGAGTATGAAGTCCGGAGTGTGGGAACTCGGAGTACAGAGTCCGAAGTGCGGGAATTCCGGAGTTCAGAGCGGAGGTGCGCACGGAGCGTAACAACATCCAACCAGGAGCTTGAAGCTGATAGTGCACCTAAGCCAAAGAAATCTAGGTCAAAATATGTACAGTTCCATGAGAATCATCCACAGTATGAGACCCATCATGTGAAGCTGCTGGATGAGTCTGAGGCATATGTTCCCAACTTCATTGGTGGTTCACTCCCCAGAAGAGATGCAGGCAACTGTGAACAATATTGCATGACCATGCTCACACTCTTCAAGCCTTGGCGCACTGGGCAGGATCTGAGACCAAGCCAGGATGTGCTCTGGGATGATGTGTTCAATGGCCATTCATTCACAGAGCGGCAGCTGGAGGTCATGAAATTCTTCCATATCAAATATGAGTGCAATGATGCCAGGGACGACTTTTCTGCAGCTCGCAAAAAGGGAGGAAAGACTGGTCCTTCACCATTCAACATGGATAATGCCACCCTGGATGACCTGGACACGCAGTA